CTCGGGCGCCTCCTCCGGCTCTGGTTCCGGCTCCTGCCTCCCTGAGCCCGGCTACGGTCTCTTTTTCTTCCTCTGCTTCGTGAACTATGCCTCTCCCGACTCTTTGATGTTCTTTTGTGAAATTTCTTCCCTCTGTTACTACTTCTCCTTTTCCTATCTGATTCCCCATTTCTTTTGTAGTGGTCTGGGCTAGGGCTTCTTCTTCTTCTTGGCCTGCCATAGTATTCATCACGGTGGCCCATCCTCTCTCTCCTCTCTGAGTTCTTACCGAAAGAGGAGCCAGTCCGATCTGGAGACAGGTAGATGTCTCTGTTAGCTTCCCAAAATTCATTGTTGGGATTCCTGAACACATGAAGGAAGTTGCAGTGTTTTCCTCTTGGACACTGTTGTATTTCAAATAAACCTGCAATGGCACAGTGATGAAACAGCACTTATTACTGTGCATTCTGAAGATGGTACTTCATCCTTTCCAGTAGGGATATTTCTGATGTTTGGATGTATCAGAATATCTGTATATTAATTTAAAGGGGTTTATATAAATTGATGTCATAGTTTGGTTCCCAGAATTTTAAAAATGTTCAAATGCTCAACAAATGACATTCTGAAAAGTATTAATAACAAATTAGAAGTTTGATGAACCAGAATGTCCTGTGTCCCTATTGGATTACGGTTCAGAGTGCAACTATACAAATGGTGACCACATGATCCTTTCTGGGTTGTCCCTATTGCAATGATCAACAATTTAGATCTCCAGTTAACACCAAAGAACCAGCTTTTGAGGTTCCTGTGGTAGAAGTATCACTTGGGGGTATGGTGGTGATAGGCCAGAACCAGTGGTCAAAAGAGAAGGTCTGTTACAGGTGGAAGAACCTGTACTTTCTTTACACTTTAAAAATGAGGATAAATACCAGCCTTATTCCTTAAATTTACCAAGTGCTTTTAACACTGAAGATTCTTGTCAAAAGTAAAATCTATCTGAATAACTGAATCTCCTTCTGGAGTCTCTGAACTTTTTTTTTAAGTACTAAATCCCCCAAATATATAAAACAGCTAAGAGTGTAATACCTCCAATATCACATGCTATATACAAAAATTAACCCAAACTGGATCAGAGACCTAATATGACATGACACTGCAATGCTGAAGAAAACATACAAGTAAGTAAACCTTTATGACACTGGCCTAAGCAATGGAGTCCTCTATATGACACAAAAAGTAAAAAATAATAAGATAAACCAGACTTCATCAAGATTAAAAACTTGTGTTTCAAGGAATACAAAACAAAAAGACAATCCATAGAATGGGAAAAAATATTGGTAGATCATATTTTTGATCAGGTACTTGTATGTAAAATATATCAAGAACTCTTAAAACTCAGTAATAAAAAGACAACCTACTTAAAAATGAGCAAAGGATCTGAATAAACATCTCCCCAAAGACTTATAGTCAATAATAAGAAAAAATGCTCAACATCATTGGCCTCTTAGAAAAATAATAAAGCTATTATTTTTGTTTCTGTTTTTATTGAAATAGCTTGGGGGAATCAAAGTCACATTTAAGAGCACTTCACTGAATCACCCTGATTTCCCAGGAACTGGTAAAAGTAACCCTTGACAGAGAAAACAACCCCATCTTTTCATCTCTCAAGACTTAAACTTACAGTTAAGGTATAATGGTTCTTTTTTTCCTAAGCAAGGAATTCTAAAATCCTTTGCTCCCTCCACAAATGGCTTTAAAATGATAGCATCGAGACAAAGTAGCCAAAGATTCAGACTTTATATGTATTTTTAATAAAAGGTTTTAAGCAGGAGAGTGTAGTGCAAAGGAAGAATACAAGCACAGAATAATATAAGTGCTCCTCTGAGGCATTAGAGCTTCATCTCTTTTCACCTGGGGAACTTCCACAAGTTTGGCTCAGCCCACTAACAGGAATTAGACATAACCAGGCCTTCAAAACTGCTGGCTACTCTCCACACAGGACTGACTCACTTCCTGATTTGCCTGCCCATCTGATGAGTCAGCCTGACAAAATGCATGCTAAACCCTTCCTACACCTACTATCAGTCTCCAATATACAAACACATGTATTTCAAATAAGGTGGGAAATGCTACAGGTGATGTTTGAGGTGGGAATAATGACATAAGATTCATTAGGGATAAAGATGAAAACAAACACAAACATAGCTCAAGTGAGGAGAACCGATAAATAGAAAACACCCCAGGAACTGTGACAAGGGAAAAAAAGGCTTCCTGTAGACATGAGTTCTCAGGCTTTCTGAAGTGTCAGACACAAAGCCCAGGACTGAGAATCAGGAGACTGAAACACTAGCTCTGACTCTTTCACTGATACATGTGACCTCAGTCACCTCATTTCATCCATAAAGTGACCTACAAGGTATGTTACAGATCTAAACTGTGGCCTGTGTGGGGCAAAAGCTATGCTTCACTCCTATAAAAGATTGTTTTTTTCCCCTATGCATACCCCATTAGATAACAGTGCACAGTTGGGGGGAAAAATCATCATATCATCTTTTACCACAAATCGCCATTTTCCATCGGGTCACCGGGCAGAATTCGCACTGAAGCTGCCGACCTGCATACCATCGACCATTAAACAGAGAAAGGGCGGCTTGGCATTCTTCCTCCCTTCAAATGGAAAGTCAAAAGATGTGCTTTACAGTAACTTTCTAATATGTAGATTAACACTACTATTAATTAACCCTTTTGTTAATCTATTGTAGGACCATGAAGTTCACTGTTTTTGTACTACGTAGGGAGTCCTCATTAGAGCATTTGAGTTTCCTAAGCTCACAATTTATTCAGGAACCCTTTTCACCAACCCTCTGAGAGGTTTCTGATGTATGGAAACTGGCTTGAGTCAAAGTTTCTTAATCCAAAAGATTGCTATTAAAAATGCAGAAGTGTTTTTCATTGTTAGAGCCCATTCTTTCTAGCTAGGATTGCGGTTCCTTTTATTACAATGGTTAATTTAAACAATT